CTGAGGAATTTGTAAACTGAAATTGATACCATATTTTAAAATAAAATAAATGTTGTATTTTTTAAATAGCAAACAAGATTGAATGATTTACATTCTCTGAATTTAGACACCTGGATTTGGTCAGGAAAGTAAGTTTTTTTCTTTGATGTTTTTTCTGTTGTACATAAATACTCTAGTTAAATGCAATTTAGTTTTGAAGATTTTTCTTGGTGTTTGCTTTTTGATAATAAATTGTTACTATTTCTATTAATGTCACAATGTTTTTATGGTAATAAGCAAATTTATAATTTATAGATGGATTTCTGCATATTATGTGGATGAAATTTTCAGAGGATAAAAGACCAACTTAAATATAAATACAAAAGCACTTAAAGTTAAGGTTCCTCCCTCACAATATCAAGGACTGATTTTGCTGTGAGCCATCCTTTTGCTGTTGTAAACTGCTTTAATTTTTAAAAAAGGTTTTTTTAAATTGTAAAATTTAAAAGTGAAGAAAATATCTAGGTCAACAAAGCATATTTTAGGATTTTATTAAATTACAAGGATTTCTTAGATGAAGCTTCTAAGAACCTTTATAGAGAAATGAAGAGATTTATTTTTAGTTATCCATTAGTTTGTCAGGCTGACAATTTATTAACCATCATATATAGATTTAGTTGGATACAAGATGGGTGGTAAATAAATTTCCTAAATAAATATATAATAAATGAAGAGAAACCTGTGTGTGTGTGTTACTCATAAGTTGCAGATTAGAAATTGATGACTATAACATGGCCCCTTGTTTCCTGGTTTAGTTGAGTTGTCAACTGAGGAAGGCTCAGAGGGGTGCTTGAATCTTAGTTGTTTCACATTTTGAATCTATACAACTCAGTTTCAGCAGTTAATGAAATAAACAATGACATACGTTGCCTTAGGAAATACTTTCTCACACACATCCCCCATGCTGTAATATTCAATAGTTATTTGGGGTTTGTTTGTTTGAATTATATAAGCAGTTGTGCTTTGGTTGCTCTTCTACTTAGAATCGCTACAAATGGAGAAAAACCAAGAGACAGATCATGGCACACGTTGACTCCTGTGGCAGATGGGAAACTTTTCCTGTTTGGTGGGCTGAGTTCAGACAATGTACCCCTAAGTAAGTTGCATTTGTCCTGAAATGTTGAAATTGTGATGGAAATATAGCTAGTATTTGAGTTACGGTGGCAATTGGGACTGGGATTGCCACCACTAAGTGATGCAGTTATAAAGTACAATGTCATGTGGCCGCATTGCTTGGCAATAGCAGTCACAATTATTGTTGTGGTCCCAAGATGCACAGGTCCTTAAGTGGGAAGAAGCAAAATCCCGGGTAGGAAGAATGGGTTGTAGAGAGGCAGGAAAGGGTTGGTGCAGGCTGTATGGGAGGCCAGAGGAGGGTTGGCCCAGGTTGTATGCAAATCATGGCAAGCCAGGAGAAGGTCTAGAAGGGCCCACAGAGCCTGAACATGGCTTGTGATCTTCCCTGACAGCTTCTCCATTGAATTTGCTTATGGGAAACTGCAAGGGAAGGTTGCAAATGGCGACCATACGACTGCAGCTTCCTGCAACGTTACTCAGTAATGGTGAGCCAGACACCTAAAGATCACAATTAATGTCCATTAGCAGTGTGACTTGGAACAGTACCATTCAAACAGGTTTTCATCAAACAAGAGAACAACTGGTAATAAACTGAGCTGCTGAATTAATATAAACAGAATGGCTTATAGTCCATGCAGAAAAGTCAAATGTTCATGAAACGTTTGCCATGTTCTTAAATGAAGGTCACTTAACTCCTATGTTCTAGGAGAGTAGATTGCTTTTTTTTAGGAAAATAAGCAATGCTACCCTTCCCAGCTACTTCTGAAACTCAGGTGAGCTAGGTGATGGAAAAAGGAAGAAAGGTACTGTAGTCAAAGAACAATGTAGAAACCTACTAAACTACCGTAGTACCTGCTTGTCTTTTAGGTCCTGGTCAAGATAGCTTTTGTTTTTCATGCTGAAAATCATTCACATACAACACAAAACAAATTGTTAAATAATTTTTTGTTATTTTTAAATAAAAGTAATAGCAATATTTTTTTATCTCTATTTTCAGGTGATGGTTGGATTTATGATGTTGCAACAAATGAATGGCAACAACTTACATATTTACCACAGACTAGACCTAGGTATAATATGCTAGTCATCTCCTGAAATTGAAGAATGTATGACTTTGTAATTGTATAATTTTGAGAATTCAAATATAGATTTTGATCTAATTTGAGGAATCGTTGATGGTCTCTGAGCTTGGTTGTTTTCTTGAAGATGTTTTATTACCCAAACTAGGTAACATCAGTGTACTGATACTAGTTTGAGTAATGAAACATCTGCAACAAAGCAACCAAGTTCAGAGAACACCAAGTGCTCCTCATTTCAATCCTGAACTATAAATATTCTCTTTTATTGATCTATTTTTGCCTTATAAAAGTAGAAAAGCACATCTGTTCATGTTATCACAGCTCACAGTTTCTCCAGGCTTCCATTTTCCCAGTTACAGTCTGCTTGTCATATCTATTACTGTTCCAAAGGATCCTATAGCCCTCAGAAGTCATTTTGCATGGTATTGTAATGGGAATAAAAAACAAGAAAGCTGTGTAACAATTGAAATTTATAAGTCACATGCTTCAACTCATTTACTTAAAAACATGATTTAAATTACATAGTACAATTTCTGTTTTTATCATTTACCAGATTTGTCTACTTAAATACTTCCTATAGGTGTCAGTAAAGTTGTTAAAAATAATTTTAATTTTGATAATTGTTCTGTTAAGACTTTATGCCTAAAAAGTGTAAAAAAAAGTCTCATATCAGCTTGTTTTCTCCATGCTTAATAATGTGACCCCAAAATGGCTTCAAGTTGGGATCAATTGAAGCCAGTACAGGCCTCCATAAAATTGTATATCAGTTTTTTAAACCGGATTGATGCTTCTCTGAAAGCAGGAAAAAGCTTCTTTACTCATTCTGTGGAAGTCAGGAATTAATGGTCCTTTATATGCACTTCTCTATCCTAGTAGGCAAAAATCTGGATAAAGCCTGCCATTATCAGAAAAAAAACTCATAAATCATAAGGATACTTATTTAGCTTTTCAGGCTTCCTCTCCAGTGCATTTATTTGAGGAAAGAAGCACAGGAATTTCAATAAATATTGCTTCAGGGTACCTGAAGTTAGGAAAGCAAATATTGCCCCTTATTCTACTATTCTGTAAGATGTAGGAGGTGGTTACCAGAGAGACACTTTACCAGAAACAGAAAATGAATAAGAGACCATGTCCTTTTGACCCCTGAAAATTTTTTCATTCTATAGCAAGATTGTTAAGATGTAGTTTGAATTCTGTTATTTTATAATGCTTTTATATTTTGCAGCTTTTAGATAATTATATTGGTTATATTGACATTTGTATTTTTGCTCTGATAATATGAAGATATGTAAGCTCTCTTCAGAACTTCATAAATTAATATTGAATGTAACAGCACAATTCACCAAAATATTTATATTGGAGAGAGGGAAACCGATATACAAAAACTTTATAGCAGGGGTGTCAAACTCACAGCGTCACGTGACATATTGGGACTTTTGTCCCCTTTGCTAAACCGGCCAGGGCTGGGACCAGCATGTGACGCATCTGGCCCCCTGCTTTATAATTTATCCATTGACATTACAACAAACAAGCTGATAAATATTACCCCCTTATCCTGCTATTCAAATAAGTATGCTAAAGATCAGATTTACAGCATCTGATTTTTGAGGGGTAATTCTTTACCTTATTAAACTAATTATGTACCTTATTATGTACTACAAATCTCCATTTTCTGGTTTAGATGCCAGCCCTGTTAGATATGTGTACAATCCAGTTATAATGTGGTATATTTGAATTAAAACAAATACTATAGTTTTTGACAAGGATTTGTTTAAACAGATGATGTTACTTTAGTTGATTAATAATGCAAATAACATGCTTTATTAGAATGTCTAGGTGCTAAGTTAGAGCAGCTGTGAGAGGACATAAACTCTGTCAGTCAATAGAGAAAGCCTCAGGGTTCAAGCTAGGAGTCAAGGCCCAGAGTGAAGGCAGGAAAGGCATTCCAGTGTTCTGCGATGATCCAGTCCAGGCCAGAGTTTTCCTAATGCAGATAAGACAGAGGCAGAGCTATCAACAGGTATGAGGAAGAGAACAGGTGCGATACAGTTTAGTGTAAGGAGAATGGTATATAATTGCTGAAATAAATGAAGTAAGGTGTTTTACAGTAATCTTGCACATACTTTGTAAATAAATAAAAAGGAACTAATCTCAATCCTATTACCCAGTGAGTTTCATCTGTTAATTTAATTTCCAGAAAATGACTTCACACACAGTGAAGCTGTCCTAACACATCCTATACAAATCTATATCTGTGTCTATTTATAGTGCAAATTTCTATGCCACCAAACTCTAATAATTCTGGCAGTTTAACATATCCAAACAGTAGTGGGGAAAAAACCAAAAGGCAATGCCCTGATCAGTTTGTTAACTTTGCACTAGTGTGTGCAAAATAACACCCAACTTTTGTAGGATGCAAAGGAGGAATGGGAGAACAGATTGCCCTATTTACTTTGGTTCCCAATCATGTTCATGGTTCATAGTCAAGCAAAAAGATGGAGCTATTACAGCTCAGTTACTACTTGTAGAAAACTGCATTCTATGTAGAGTGGCCATGATATTTGGTACATTTTTGCCCCTAAATGTCTTTTTAGTCACATAAATCTCATTTCTGTTCTTGCCTGTTTCCTTGATTTTTTTAAAAGAAAGATACATCACACTTCCAATGTGTTATTAACACAGTTGCCTAGAATTTCTACTCAACCCACTGCCAGCCTATATAGTGTTAGAAAATAATGTTGGTCCATATGATTTCTTTCTCCAGTTAATCCAGGCAGATAATTAATGTTAAAGAAGATTATAGCCTAGTCCAGAGCATTTTTCTCAGCTTTCATTTTATGCCCTGTAAAAAAAAATACAAATTCTAATGAATAACGACTAGGGGTTGCCTTAAATTAACACTATAACTGGAAAAAATAAAATTGTTCAGATAGCTGAGTTTCTAAGTGATGCCACCTTGAGTACTCATACTTTGATATTCATGGCAGCATATTTCATAATATGGCTTATTAATATCAAAAGAATTTTTCACAAATTTTCAAGATTAGTATAAAACCATTTTAAATTGTACTTAGATAAAGTATTATATAATCTATTTTTTAAGACAGAATAAGCTATTTTATTATTTAAACGCGTCTAATCATTGCAAACAATTTTAAAGATTGGATCAAATGCATTACTAGTTTCTTAAATTCTTCCTGTTCTTGTTAAGAAAGTCCGCTAATAGTAAACAGGAAAATATCAGTAAAATTTAAATTTCTTCGTTCATTACTAACGAATTCAAAATATTCTAAAGAATTGAGTAATCACTCTTAAGACAATATAGGTATTATATGTTGGAGATTAAGTGAAAGGTCTGTAATGTAAAAATAATGTGCACCTCTAGAACATCTAAGTAAATGCTTCTCCAAAATCAGTTATTTGAGCATT